AATTTTAAATATTCATTATAGGTCATGTCATAGATATACAGATATATTGGTTTGACGATCCTATAAAAATGGCCGAATGGTGGCTATTTTTGTGCTAAAAATCATCAAGATCAAGCATTTCACAGTTGTTTACAGATGGATTTTGTTCAAACTTGTATATACGTTGGACATTATAGGACCTTGATGCACATCATTTTGTTTTTCAGATACATGTAAGATTCAAAATGGCCGACTGGCAGCCATTTTGTTTTAATGAATGTGGTTCTAGTGCCATATCTCTGACTTGCTTAGACTGATTATGTTCAAATTTTAAATATTCATTATAGATCATGTCATAGATATACAGATATATTGGTTTGACAATCCTATTCAAAATGGCCGAATGGTGGTCATTTTTGTGTGAAAAAATCATCAAATGTCAAGCATTTCTGGCATTTATGGATGAATTTTGTTCAAATTTGGTACATACATTAGACATGGGTTCCTGATGCACGTCATTTTATTTTTAAAATGGTCGACTGGTGGCCATTTTGTATTAATAAATGCAGCTCTAGTGCCATATCTCTGACATGCTTTGACTTTGAATTTTATATATTCATTATACATGTATTCAAAATGGCTGATTTTGTGGCTGATTTTGTTTTAATTAATGCTGTTCCAATATCTCTCAATACTCATTTGACGATCAGATACAAATATCAATCATTTTAATGTTAAAAAATCATCATAATCATATTCCTGACATGTTTATGTTCCAGCTATATTACTATAAACAAAACTATATATCTTAAATTCGATAACTAACTGGGACTGTGCCATGCATGGCTTGTATATTTTAGATTTGATCCAGAAGTTGAGGGTGGTGAAAATATGTTTATTGATTCATTCCAAGCTGCGAAGTTGTTTCAAGAGGAATTTCCACACCACTTTGATTCACTGGTTCGAATACCTGCTTCCTTTCAGAAAATACACTATGATAGGTGGGTTGTATCTTAGGATTAATTAACAGTATATACACTGCAGTATATACACTGGTTATACACTATAATACAAGTAGGTAGTACATCATTATAAATGGATACTGCACTATGATATTTACATGTAGCTGTAGATATTACATATATGATATACAGGTAGTATATGGTATATATAATGGTAGATAATTCATTAATAGGTAGATAATAGATTGGTAGTCCACTGTAATAGGTGGATAATACACAATGATAGGTTGATAATACACAATGATAGGTGTATAATACACAATGATTGGTGGATAAAACACAATGATTGGTGGATAATACACAATGATTGGTGGATAATACACAATGATTGGTGGATAATACACAATGATAGGTGGATAATACACAATGATAGGTGAATAATACACAATGATTGGTGGATAATACACAATGATAGGTGGATAATACACAATGATTGGTGGAAAATACACAATGATAGGTGGAAAATACGCAATGATAGGTGGATAATACGCAATGTTAGGTGGATAATACGCAATGATAGGTGGATAATACGCAATGATAGGTGGATAATACGCAATGATTGGTGGATAATACGCAATAATTGGTGGATAATACGCAATGATTGGTGGATAATAC